AGAGAGAGAGAGAACAAACAGATCGATGTATGGTTTAGCTTTCTAGAGAACAAACAGTAAAAGTATTGATCGAACCACGCATAACAAAGAGAAGAGAGCATGGGAGCAGAGACAGCTACTCCACAAAAAAGCTACTGGAGAGAGCAACACGACGGCGTTCCTCATCAGCTTGGGCTGGAGCGTAACGGTTTGACAGGTCGATGTATGCCGGATGGGCAGGACAGATTAAGCTCCACCAAAATATGTCTCTGACAACAACAGGGTGGGTTAAAAGTTTTCCGACTCCATGGCGCAGCTACTTGTTCTACGATCACCAATAACTTGGATGGAAAACAAACCTCAAACATGTTACCGCACACGATGAGATTGGGATGCATGGGCGAGCGGTGCACCAAAGGAAGAAGAATGGATACAGCGCGCACGCTACTTCGTCTCTGGGTGTCTCCGAACCCAATTTAGCGTTTCATGATGGAAGTGCTCTTGATGGGGAAGGAACAATCCATATCGTCAATCGATGGGCAAACTAGCGAACATGCTGTGACCAAGTATTATTATAAACAAACCTTTGTCACTGCTGTTCCGAAGCTTGCATTGCCATTTTCCAAACAACAAGTATACCAAAAATAATCAAGGAGGGACCCCCACCGAGGCCGCTGTCCAATCGATAACGCTGCCAAAACACCTTTAGCCAAAAGTGAGTGGTCCACTACACCCACACTCCTCGGTTCTCATCGGTGAATCCGCTTCAGCCGAGTAACAGAGATTAAATGATTTTTTGGAGGATTAAATTTGAAATTGCCTCTCTCTTTTTTTTCTTTTTTTTAAAGGGTGACAGACTGAGATTCCTGCTCACTTTTTATGTATTATTTTTTAGGCCGGACTCTGCTGCACCAGCAAGTGTCTATATTTGTTCGCAGTCACAGAGTCCCCCCAATTCTTCTCCACCGCCAGCGAATGTGAGTAACAAACAAAACAAATACCCCTCCCTCCCTCTTCTTCTTATCCCTCGTCTTCGCCCAGAAGAGTAAACCGCCAAAGCCCATTTGCAACAAGACGATGGGTGGCGGTGGCAGAGGAACGGCTGGAGCGATGGAGATCGAAGAGGCGTCCGAGAAGGAGGAAGAGGATGAGGAGTTCTCGCCGATCGAGCAGGTGCGGCTGACGGTGAGGAACACGGACGACCCGACGCTGCCGGTGTGGACGTTCCGAATGTGGTTCCTGGGGCTGGCGTCCGTCTGCCTGATGTCGTTCCTCAACCAGTTCTTCTCGTACCGCAGCGAGCCGCTGGTGATCACGCAGATCACCGTGCAGGTGGCGTCGCTGCCGCTGGGCCACTTTCTGGCCCGGGTGCTACCCACGTGGAGGTTCCGGCTGCCGGGGCTGGGGCAGCGGGAGTTCTCCCTCAACCCGGGGCCCTTCAACATGAAGGAGCACGTTCTCATCTCCATCTTCGCCAACGCCGGGTGCGCCTTCGGCAACGGCTCCGCCTACGCCGTCGGCATCGTCAACATCATCAGGGCCTTCTACAAGCGGAGTGTCAGCTTAATCGCCGGCTGGCTGCTCATCATCACCACCCAGGTTCGGCGTCGATGCGATGATGTCCTCCTCTTCATTTGATTCGTTCTAGAATTGGAATGGGTTCGGTGAACCGATCAATTCGAATCGACTCATGGGTTGTGTTTGCGTGCGTTGCGCAGGTGTTGGGGTACGGATGGGCGGGGCTGATGAGGCGGTACGTGGTGGAGCCGGCGCACATGTGGTGGCCCAGCACGCTCGTGCAGGTCTCGCTCTTCCGGTAATTGTTCTTCTACCTTCTTCCTTCGCTTTGCTATTCGATCCTTCCTTCGACTCGCCATGATGCTCGCTCGGTCGGTCGCTTACTGCATTCTATTTCGATTCCTCCGAATGATCCCTCTGTTGCACAGCTGAATCCGTCTCGTCATTCACCGTGTTTCCATTTTACCCTGGAATAGCAAGTACAAGACACGCCATTGTTCCATCCAACTCAACCTCCTCTTTCCTTGGGAACTTCCATCTTCACCATTCTAATCCTTGATCTGCCATTAGTTTATTTTTCGACTCCACCGGTGCCGAGGATCCGCATTTCTACGCCACATCTCCGTCGGGCATGTGATAGGAATCTGGACCCTCCCATGTCAAATCCACCGACCATGTTGCTCTTGCTTTTTTGAATGATCGGTTGTGATCACGCTTCTTCATCGGTGATTCCCGCATTCTTCCCTTTTTCTTAAATCCTACGCGGCCTCGTGTATTGTGCACCTCCGTTCACGTGACACCGGTGACGTAACACCGCAGCCACCGATGTGACGCGGATGGAGATCCCGTTGTTTCCATAACATCCGTAAGAAGGAAAAATGAGATGAACGGTTTTGAATGTCAAGTTTGTTACGGATGCCTTTTTTTTTTTTATTCCAGTAACATCTTTCTTATCCCCGACGAGTATCTGTTGCTGTCTCGTAGGCCGAGCAGAACTGATGATCCGCCGTTGATACAAATTAAAATGGAACCTAACGATCATAAGCCCACAAGAAAGAATCAAAGCTTTAGGTATTATTTGATCGATATGCACACGTATAATTTCAACCGAAAACACCTCATTCATATAGATACACATTTGAATCATGTACCATATGATTTATGATAGTTTTAAATGGTACCTTATTTTCCTAGTTGAAATTAAGAATTTTTGGAACAGAATTGAATCGATTATTAAGAAAAAAAAATCAAACTAACCAAATCGGTTACATTGATTCGGATTGGCTTTTCTGGTTTATTTGCACCAAGCCAATATGAATTCATAGATGGACCCTTTGAATTAACTCCTCGTTATGATCCCTACCTCAAAAGCGTCTTTTCATCTTATCTATGTCTCTAGGAGAGCTACAGAAACATCAGATAAGGAAAAAAAAATTCTTGGGGGGTAAATACAAAAGGCCACCCTAGTTTTCGTTATTATAAATTGCAAATTTAAAAGCGAGCTTTCTACTGATCGCAGAGCGTTGCATGAGAAAGAAGACGGCCGAATTCGCCGCATTTCGAGAGCCAAGTTCTTCGTCATCGTGCTCATCTGCAGCTTCTGCTGGTACACGGTGCCAGGGTACTTCTTCCCGACCATCACCAGCATGTCGTGGGTCTGCTGGTTGTTCTCCAATTCTGTCACGGCCCAGCAGCTCGGGTCCGGCCTGAATGGGTTGGCCATCGGCGCCTTCACCCTCGACTGGTCCACCGTCGTTTCCTTCCTCGGCAGCCCGCTGGTGTCCCCTTTCTTCGCCATCGTCAACGTCTTCATCGGCTTCGTCATCTTCGTATACATCGCCATACCCGTGGCCTATTGGGGTCTCAACTCGTTCGATGCCAAGACTTTTCCCATCTTCTCCTCGGAGCTGTTCGCTGCGACTGGCCGAAAGTACAACATCACTGCCATCGTGAACGATCGGTTCGAGATCGACATGGCGGCTTATGAGAAGCAAGGAAGGATCAATTTGAGCATGTTCTTTGCTCTAAGCTATGGTTTCGGATTTGCTGCCATCGCAGCTACGTTCACCCATGTTATGTTCTTCTACGGCAGGTATGTTCCTCGTTTGCATCTCTCTCTCTGTCTTTCTTTCTAAACCGAAACTTTATTTACGGCTTCCTTGTTGTTGCTCTAGATCATCTTCTAGCGTGCAAAATTACTACATCAAATCGGTCCATTTATTTTCCTTGCAAACGAATGGTAGCATAAAGGCAAACTTTCAACAGAGTACACTCGGAGAATGTTTTATTGACAGTATCTACATACCTATAATCGGCGGTCGTTTCTCTGAGAATTGCATTTGAGATAGAATGGTTCGAGAAGAATCAAATCAAACTATTATGTAATTGTCACATGGTGCAGGGAGATCCACGACCGGTACCGTGCTTCCTATAAAGGGAAGCCAGACATCCACACGCGCTTGATGCACAAGTACGCGGACATCCCCGGCTGGTGGTTCTACTCTCTGCTCCTACTGACCGTGGCGGTGTCGGTGGTGCTCTGCACGGTGCTCAAAGATCAAGTTCAGCTGCCAGTCTGGGGGCTCTTTTTCGCCTGCGCTCTTGCCTTCATCTTCACCCTCCCCATCAGCATCATTACCGCCACCACCAACCAGGTAACAATCATTTTGCATCTCTTCCTTTTTTTTTCGCTACTGTATCTGAACCGGTATTGCTGCTGCTTTGGACGGATGGGAAAAAGACTCCGGGCCTCAACATCATCACCGAATACATGATGGGTCTACTGCAACCGGGGAAGCCCATCTCCAATGTCTGCTTCAAAGTGTATGGTTACATGAGCATGGCCCAGGCCGTGTCCTTCCTGGCGGATTTTAAGCTTGGCCATTACATGAAGATCCCACCCAGATCCATGTTCCTGGTTCAGGTAAGGAGTACCACTCGACTCGTGAATTCGTTACTGACACCGCGTGTCACATGCAACTCGTCATCGTCCGCTGAGCCAATTCTGTGACAGCTGATAGGCACCATCATCGCCGGAACCATCAACATCACCGTGGCGCACTGGATGCTGGGATCCATCGATAACATATGCGACCGAGCTCGGCTGCCCCCGAACAGCCCCTGGACGTGCCCGGGCGACCGGGTCTTCTTCGACGCCTCGGTCATCTGGGGATTGGTGGGGCCCAGGCGCATCTTTGGGCCGCTGGGAAACTACGGATCCCTCAACTGGTTCTTCCTGGGCGGCGCCATCGGTCCCGTGCTGGTGTGGGGCCTGCACAGGGCGTTCCCGGCTCGGTCGTGGATCCCCTTGGTCAACCTCCCGGTGCTGCTGGGGGCGACGGGGATTATGCCCCCGGCCAGCCCCATCAACTTCACGGCGTGGGTCGTGGTGGGCACCGTCTTCAACTACGCGGTGTACCGCCGGCGGAAGAAGTGGTGGGAGCGGTTCAACTACATTCTGTCGGCGGCCATGGACGCGGGAGTCGCCTTCATGGGCGTCCTGCTATACTTCGCGCTCAACATGGAGAACACGAGCATCGACTGGTGGGGAACTGATGAGCACTGCCCGCTCGCCACGTGTCCGACGGCCAAAGGGGTGCAAGTGGAAGGCTGTCCGGTCTTCTGAGTCTCGTCGACTTTGACTCGCCCTAGCCTAGCTTATTTTTCGGACGTGTGGTGGTGGTGGTGGTGTTTCAGCTGAAATTTCAACTAGGTGTTTGTGTTGCTATTCCTGCCGAGATCTAGAGATATATCAGAATAACGGGGTGGGCGTAGACTAGCAGTCATTGTTTTTTTTTTTTTTTTTGTAGTTTTTATTCTTGGCTTTATCATTCGACACCATTCCATTTTATTTTGGCATCAAAAATGCTTTTTCACTCGTTCACTATTATTACTTCCTGCTATCTATCAGACATCAGACGGTGTTTGTTCGCCGACCTTGCATCTACGACGCGACGCCTCTTTCTTCCGCCTCTGTGGCAGCACTCTCCCTCTTTAGGCGGTCTGATGTGACAAGTTACGCCAGCAAACACAATAGGAGCCCACCTCAAGATCATATCGAAATCAAATGTGTAAATAGAAAATACAACATCTAAAATGCCGTCTATGCATGTATGCGTCCGATATAAATGAATGCACCAAAGAATTAGATATATCTAAGCTTGCATGTGCAAACTATGGCCTGCTCCATTCTTAAAGATTATGCATCTTACTCTGACGCAATTGGAGCGTAAGCATGGAAGGGTAAGTTTTTAGATGTTCTCGAGGATCGTATTAACATCCTTCAACTCCATCATCAAGTCTCTCATTACACGTTTTATGATTAGAAACCATGAATAATAATACCCCACACACACACACACACACACACGCTATACACGGCAGCAGGCAGGCAGGCAGTCAGGCATAGAAAAGAAATCATAGGATCGTCCCTTGGGCAGGTTCGGGTTTGTCCTGATGCTTGGTTGGTGAATCTTTTGAAGTCGGTGAATCGTCTGAAGTTGTTGAATCTTTCGAAGAGGTGGTCGAATCTTTGGGATCCCCCGATTCGTCGTGACCCTTGGCCAACTGCTCCTCAACTTTGCGCCGTTCCTGCTCCGTCGCAGCCTTATCCATTGCCTTGGTTCCAACATCACTAGCAGCCCTGGCAACCTTACCGAAGGCCCCCGTCACCCATGCTGCCCCCGTGAACACATACCTGTTCTTCATGATGGCCGCACCGGCAGTGCTAACCTTCTGCTCCGCAGCTGCAATGGCTGATCTCGTCTTCTCCGACACCTGATATTTCTGATCCATTTCCATCACCTTCTCGTTGACGGCAGCAGTGCCCATGCTTATTTTCTCGCTTAGCCCCATCCTTTTGTCCAGATCCGAGACTTTGGCTGAAGCTGTGGATGTCAACTGGTGCTTCTCATCGAAAGACTTTGCCTTGTTCAGTGCATCCTTCCCCAGGACGAATCCCTTGGCCAGCATAGTGGTGACAACATTCTCCGCCTTCCGAACAGCAGATCCGATGCCGCCGGCACCCTCATCGCCATCGTTCGACTATTCAAGCGATCATCAGAAAAAGAATGTTACGAGTAGTTTATATAAATTAAAGAAGAAGAAGAAAAGAGAGGGCGTAGTGTACTGCAGGAGGAATTAAGACGGTAGCTGGGAGTTGGTAATCCACGGCGGGTGTGATGTCGATGACTAGATCACATATTTTTGCACCCTGCACTTTGAAATGAAAACCAATTTAGAAGATAAAAAACGAAAAACCAAGAACAAAGCTCTGTAATTTTATCCTCCAAGTAAGATGACTAATAACAACATTTCCTTTCCTAAGCAAAAAAAAAAAAACTAGTACTTCACAATTCCAAATCTTTGTAAACAAGAGTTATGTCCTTGCGCGACCATGACCATGATTCTAATGGAAACCGCTATCCATAAAGCACCACGAACTGAATTGAAATTCAGCACCAAGGCAGAGAGATCAATAAATGAAAAACCAGATTCACCATAATTTACAAATAAATTCTTTTTTCTTTTTCTTTTTTAACCGAGTAACCTATGTGGAGATACCAAACGTACCGTAAGAAGAAGCGCAGTCTCCGCTCCTTGTGAATCTTTAAATGTGACATAGGCAACCTGAGATGACTCATCTACACTGCAAAAAGGGAACGGAAGCGTAGCAAATGCATATGCATCAGAAAGAAAGGTGCATAAATGACGGACATTATGTGTGAGTACAGACCTTTGCACTTCGATGTACACGATGTCACCAGAAAATGAAAAGAATTCCTTTATATCTTGCACTGATGCACCGCGGGAGACATTGCTAATCTTTACCGTACTTACCTGCGGAAGCAATAATTACTCTCTGATCAGGACTATTTTCTCACCGATGATCAAATGACATACCAAGAACATAGCATCGAAAGAAGAACCTCGATGGTCTAAGTTGCAATGCTTTAGAGTCAAAGAAGCAGAATAGTTAAAAAAAAAAAAGGCTATCTAGCAAATTTTCACAAATCAAAACATTTCAGAACAAAGATCACCTACTACGCGTAACAAGATCAGGCATTTTCTGGTTTTCAGCTAGTCAAGAAGCTATTAACAGACAGACAGACAGACAAACATAGCAAAATCAACAAAACTCATTAGATTGGCCAGGAAAATGCCAAAAAAAATTTGTTCTTGGAAGTCGACTTGTGCTTCTTCTACTCGTTTGAGGTAAAATCAGAAGGTGCATGCCTTGCAAATTATACTTCGACCAATATTTTCATACAATAATAATAAGCAGAGATGGTATATGAGAAGGGACCTTAGTGCAATGATAAGATTCCTCCTTTGTAACCTAGTTCACCAAAAGATAGTAGCAACTATTCTTTGTGTTAATAAGAGAAAACAGCAAGAGATATATGATATTATGCTAGACCAAAAGCATGGAAAGTGGGAGGGGAACAAAAGGATTAGAGAAGAGAGGCAACAGGAGAATGTAACAACACTACTTTAAACGTTTAAACAACCTACCGATAAGACTGATAATAAGATAGAGAAGTTAGTATCTACATCTGGAGAATTGGTGGATACATGGTAGGTTTAGGAGACAAATCATGGGTCAAATGCAGTTAAAAGACACCATTAGCTCCATAAGTAGGGTTACCGAGGCGGTAGATTAGAGGATGTCGTAGAAGAAACAACAAACTTGAAGGAGCTAATGTAAGCTCCTCTGCTTAAGAGAGCAAAAGGGAAGATCGCATGTTCTGTTGTCACATTACACAGACATCTTTTTGACACCTCATCAGCTCTAACAATCGTGTATCACGAATACAATCTCGTGCGGGGAGGGGAGACGTTGTCATCGGTGTTACACAAAGAATCTGGAAAACAAAAAAATTGATAGCCATTCAATTCATTCATGAAAGCTCATGCAAAGGGGAAAACTAATCCAACAAATCCATAATAACAACCTATTGTTATCTATCATCAACAAATGGAACGCCCACGAACCCGGCACGCAAAGATGGTTCGACTTGAAACAAGATTAGACACCGGCGATCAGAAATGTGTCTCGGATCTTAGCATACCGCGGTTAACGCACGGTTATAAGACGGCATCGATATCTGACCAAAAAACCTACAAATTCCTTTTGGGTTAAAATGCTTAAAGAATCATGAAAATGATCTACAGATCAAAGATGCCAATTTCGGAGAAGTGGAGCAATCATTCCAATGCCAAACTACAACGCACGATCTCAATAGAATAGCTCAACGTGTACGATTCCTATCGCCATCAAGTGCTCGATAATCCTAATTGATGGCGTCAATCTCCAATGATCCAAAGAATGATGGAAGAGAGAAAGAAAATAAAATTCTACCTCAATCTGATCAGATTCTAATAAGACAGAAACCCTAACCATATATTTGCAACCAAAAAGAATCAAACCATTGGGATAAAAAACACGGTTCTTCAAACATACGATCGGGGAAGATTCGAAGGCAGAACTCACCGTCATGGCTACCGATCCGGCGACGCGAACGAGGACGAGAAGAACAGAGGAGGGAGAGATCGAAGGAAGAGATGAAGACGAACGAGGAAAGCGGCAGGCGCGAGTCGGGGGAGAGGGAGGAGCACTTTATAGGCGGTTCGATTGGGAAGGGTGTAACGGAAGGCCGCCGCTAACCGCATCCGTCCATTACGCGCCGCGGGCGCGATGGACGTGGCACGACGTGTGCGGCACTACGTCAAAAATAATTTTCTTTCGTTTTCCTATATATATTTTTAATGTGGTGTGAGGGTCGGATAATTAGCGGGGATGACAACCGGAGGACCAGACCACTCTCCATCCGGTCTCGTTTATGTTATCATATCATATATAAATTATATATATATATATATATATATATATATATTTATTAATTATATATATATATATATATTTGAGAATTGAACTTAATATCTATAATTTCAACATTGTATATATATATATATATATATTATAATAATAATAATACAATAATGTATTTAAAAATATATAACCACTAAACTAATCTTATTTTTTTAATACATTTTAAAATTTTATAATAAAATAATAAATAAAATATTTCATCAAGATTGGTTATGTGATGAAATGCACCATATGAATTTTAATTTGAGTGAAAATAATTTAACTTCTATTTATTTAATATTAATTCTTATTTATGTAATTAATTAATGTTTAATAGACACATCCTTAAAAGGATAAAGATGATTGTGATATAATTAATATATATTTTAATTTTAATAATATTATTTGTTTTTAAATTTTTATTGCTAGGTATTTTATATATTTCCATTTTTACGTAGGATTCATTTTGCACATACATGTGAGCATGAAAATTTAAAAAATAAGATTAATAAAGAAAATTATTAATCTATATATTTATTTGGTTTTTTTTATATTTGGATATATTTGTATTTGAATATTGTTATGATAGGTAAAATATCATTATTATTTATAAACTTTTGTATTGTTAATTAATTTTGATTATAGGTTTATTTTTTTAAATTAAATAAATTAATTAGAAGAAATTACGCATAGAGTATGCATACTTGTGGGTCCCACCCCTCGTGTGTTGGGGGATGGGGTGCGGGGTTGGGTAAAAGATGGGTTTTTTTTCTTATTACCGAAACTGTTTCGAGGCAAGGATGAGTAGAGCACATGTTAAGAATATCTCCGTATCCATCCCCGTATTATTTATATTATTATATTATTATATAATATATATTTAATAATATTATTAAAAAATATATATAAAAAATTGAATCCAATACGTTTAATTTCAACATTCTAACATTAATCACTAAACCAATATTATGTTTTAATTTTATAAAATTTTGTATTTATAATTAATTTTGATAATAATTTTATTTTTAAATAGAAATAGATTTATTATGATGATTTGGAAAATCCATGGATTCCCTACCCTCCATGGGGATTTTTCATCCCAGCCCTTGTCTCATCTAAATACGGATGGAGAAGCATTCATGTTCCCTTCCCACCTCATTGACATTCCTATTTGTAAGTTTTTCATTGTCAATGAGGATTCTTCATCCGCACTTAGTCTTATTTAAATGATGAATGAGATGAAAATGAAGATGAGAAGACGAAACAAGATAGGGAAAGCACTTTTTGTTCTCGTCCTGTCTCATTGATATCTTTATGTACGGGTTCCTCTCCCTTCATATTCTTAATCCCTGTCTTTGTCCCATTTAAGGGGATAGAGATAAGGAATGAGATGAAGATCAATCTATCAATGGTGGTTTAGTATTTATTAAGATTAAAATTATAAGAATTATATGTAACTTGTAATTGATATCTTTGAAGCAATCAAAATCATATATATGTATATATATATATATATATATATATAAACCAATCCAATATATATATATATATATATATATATATATATATATATATATATATATATATATATATATATATATATATATATATATATATATATATGCATTCTAAAGATGAGAGTTATAAATTTGAAATTATTGGAGATACTTTCCAAACGGTAGCCAGTGGCTTCCCTGGATCTCTAATAACTTCCTAATACTTGGCATGGGATATAAATTATGTGTGATCTTTACATGCTGTGGCCACCACGTTTGTTCCAGCGTTGAATAGTCATATTGGAGAACTAATTATGGAAGACACGGATTCGGCACATAAAGTTGGTAACAGGTGAAGGTGCCGATCTAAAATATGGCAGATAAGTGAGATGGAACGCATGGCACACAGTTAAGATGCTGTGCATTTGGATTCATATCGCGAGGTGAGCACATATCTCAAAGTGAGGTAGAATGTATGATAAAGAGCTTTGGATTCATATCATGAGGTGAGCACATATCTCAAAGTGAGATGAAATGCATGACAAAGAGCTTTGTATTCATATCATGCGGTGAGCATGTATCTCAAAGTGAGATGGAACACATGACAAAGAGCTTTGGATTCATATCATGAGGTGAGCACAATCTCAATGTAAGATGGAACGCATGGCAAAAAGCTTTGGATTCTTCATATCATGAGGTAAGCACGTCTCTCAAAGTGAGATGAAACGTACGACAAAGAGCTTTGTATTGATATCATGAGATAAGCATGCACGTATCTCAAGTAAGATAGAACGTATCTCAAAGAGCTTTGGATTCATATTATGAGGTTGATCGATCCAAATGTTCACCGGATACATACTTCGCTATCCATTAGCATGACATTTAAAATCCAACGTATCACTGCCTCCGTACAATCAAGATAGTGGAGCCGCCGTATCTTATCGGATCTATCCTGAGAAACATTTCTCTCTCTCTCTCTCTCTATATATATATATATATATATGAGAGAGAGAGAGAGAGAGAGAGAGAGAGAGAGAGAGAGAGAGAGAGAAATGGAACGAGGAAAGGCTGGCTGGTCAACAGCTATGGGGATCGACGGCGACTCGGGTGGCGGCGTGGAAGAGAACAGATGGGACTCAAATCCACGAAGGAGAAAGGTAGGCGTATGATGGATTGGGAGATGAATTCAGGTTGCATGATAAATAGCAGAATCCATGTTTGCAAGGAGGAGACGTCCTGCAGGCTGTCTGCACAACTGTTTAGGGAATTGTTTTTTATAGACTGTGACGAACATGGCAACGACAAGAAGAACTCGTACTGTCTCGACAGTACCAAGGCCTCTTGTGTGCACCGTCAACATGAACTCATCCGCGCCACCGATTGCTCTGGAATGGGGCAGGGGCAGACATGTTGACATGTTCAAGACATTAAGCTTTCTGTCAGAGATAATAATAATAATAATAATAATAATAATAATAATAATAATAATAATAATAATAATAATAATAATAATAATAATAATAATAATAAAATTCCTTCTAGTTGACCGATTATAAATAATAATTTATTTAGAAGAGATATTTTGATTATTTTATAATTTATAAAAACTATAAATTTATTATTATTATTTTAAAAATAATGTTGCTCTTTCTTGGAGGTATGTAGGAGAAGAAAAATCCCCAAATAAACCTCCCCTAAAAAAAAAAAAAACTTCTCATTCTTCTTTACCAATAAAAAAAACATAGATTTATCTGACACTTTGATGAAGAACGTGGGTATAGAAATATATCCAAAAATACTTACTTTGGATGAATTATTTCTTTTGTATATTCAAACAAATTATTTTGAGTTGAATAAATGGAGTTAGTTAATTTTTAATATCGTCACGTGTTATTTACACTAGATGAAAGTTTCTGTTGATAATGTTGGTTTATATTATCATTTTTATCATACCCTATACGATTGATGTTTTATTTTTTATTCTATGAAATTATTTATTTTTAATCATTATTTTTAATATTTATTATTATTATATATATCTAAAATTATTTTTATATTTAAAATATTTTAATTAAATATATGATCTAACACCTTAGACTTTACCGAATGACTGATATGACAACTCGATCTAGTATTTTAGATTGATACGGTGGTTTATATGATCTCTTTTCTAATACACTCGAAATATTAGATTTTTTTAAAAAAATAAAGATCCAGAATCTCATTCGATATATTTTATATATTCAAATATTGATTTAATTATGATGCATCAACTAACTTATAAAAGATTAAGGATTTCATCCAATATACCCTTTGTAAAAATAAATAAATAATATAGTCTAATCTCACATAATAATACTTAATGAAAATGATGATAGAAGGACAAATGATAAAGTGACCCTCTTGAAAGTCAAAAAAAGTTATTTCTCTTATGTGTTAAATCAAATGATAAAAACATGGCTCTGATACCAACTGTTAGGATCGTAAAAGTGTGCAGCTAAAGTAACGAAGAAGTAAAGTAGTTTGTAATAAAGGTAAATAGCAAAATAGGAATTCAAACCAATTTATAGTAGTTTAGTAGTCGTAACCTACGTCCACTCCCGATTCCTTTTCACTCAAGGCCATCGACTTCCACTATCGATCTTTTTTCCAATGAACGAAGTTCAACTACCCTTATACTCTTTCTCCTTTTCATAGGTTCAAGAAAAAACCTTTACACCCCTCTTTTATAAGTGTTCCCTCACACACCTCATTTACAACTATCACTAAGCCCTTGGAGGAGGGACTTTATACTTAAAAGAGTTTTACTACCTTGGAATCACAGAGTTTTTGCCTCTTTTCATGTATATTCCAAGTAGGAATTTATGAAGTATTTATAGACCCTAAATGACTTCAAAACTTGGAGCCAAAATTTAAATCCCCGAGTTTTCAGGGTACGAGCGGTACCATCGCCTGTCGGTCTGACACTGGGTGGTACCACCGCCCATTCTGGTGATTCCACCGCTTGACATACTAACATTGGGTGGTACCACCGCCCAGTCTAGCAGTACCACCACCTGACAGCATAGAAAAATGTGTTCTTGACTTTTCCAACTCATTGGTGGTTCCATCTAACCTTGGGTGATCGAATGAGCCTTCCACTTGGCTTAAAACAGACCCAACTTAGGCCTAATGGGCCCTTAATTGAGTTGGAATGGTTACACCCGAAACCAACT